TGGATCCAGGTGGATCCAGTTTTCGAATTTTTCAAATTGTTGCTATGCCATTGCTATGGAGTGACGTAGCACTTTCAAGCCCTAAATAGGGAACGCTGAGAATTTCCAACTAGTATTGTCCGGCTTTGGTCCTCTGCCACCGACCTATCCTTTGAAATTGAAGGAGACTGCTGAAACCAGTTGGTTGCTCTTCAGTAGTTCTTTCTCTATCGTATACATATTTTTGTATGTCGACACATGCCGCGTGCGACGACGTAGACACTTCTCAACATTTGAGTGACTTGAATTATTTGGCCATGATGACCGAATGTCATTGGACCATGGAGTCGAGTAGAGGGCTCAGGCTCGATCGGCACAACGGGTACGTATAGAACAAGGGTAGGGCTAATGATATATCAAGCTGTTTGCTGTGCACAACCTTGGGGCGGAATTTGGCACGAAATTCTCTGCTCGCCAACTGTTGAGTATACCATGCAATACGCTGTCCCCGGGGAAAATTGCGGAAAAAAATTGCAAAAACGCGGGGAAAAACGCGGCATAATATGGCATAATTTGCGGTGAATTTGCGGTAAATATGCGGTGAATAATATTGATGTGCGGCAATTTTCAGTGAGTATGTAGTCAAATCAATCAGTTACAAGTCTCTGGTGTAAGGGCGCGCTCACACTGCGACCATGAGCACGCGTCCATGCGTCAGCAAAACGCAGAAACGTGGGAGTCGTGCTCACACTAGGCCTCGTACACGCGTGGACGTGAAGTTGTCACACAAACTTTACGAATTGCAGTTCGTATCCAAAAGAGTCCGTGCGTTTCCTAATAAAGTTGTGGCCCGTTTTGGATGTAATTTTTCGCATGTTGCATGTAATTGTTAATTTTTGAGGAAGTGCCTCGTGGCTCGTATTCTTGAAGTCAACGAAAATAATTCATACAATCAGGTAGGTTAGGACTCTTGAGGGACTGCCGCTGACATCCAAGCGCTTTCGATTTCCTGACCTCGTGCCGTCGTGGTCAGAGCAAGTGCCAGTGCAGTGGAAATTCCGGTAGTGGTTTCTTTCGTCTGTTGCCGAGATGAGAACTGTATTTTCCGACGGTAACTGAAATGTCTTGAGGTATGGCATTCCATCATCGCAGAAAAGTAAAGAAAGATAATTTCCGAAACCGAAAAGCCAGACCAAGCTGCCATCGTATTGAACGAGTACACTGTAGAAATTGGTCACTGACCCGATCACAACGAAGCAACTACAAAAACAAAATCGACATCGTCCAAAAAGGGCAAAGAATGCATACATGGCGGTGCGTGCGTGCAGGACCACAACTACAAAATTTTAAAAATGTGCAAATGTCGAGGTGACATCGACAACCGCCGATGGTCATGAATCAACACACCGGAATTTGAGAAATTGAACATACTTCAGGCCAGGTTGTACACAAATACGCTTCACGTCTACGATCATGTTGCCGCCAAGTCGTGGCACCCCCCTCCGGGGTCGCGGTCACGATTTGAAACGTGGCCGCGACGTTTTGGTCAAGTTCATGCCGTTGCCATGCAACTGTTACTTGGCCGCATGGCCGCATGGACGCTGGTTTTGGTCGCAGTGTGAGCGCGCCCTAAGCACTCGTCATATTTGAGTAAAAAGCCGCCACGATGAGACGTTGCTGACCGAACAGTGCACTGTGTGTACGTGTAGTGCAACAAAAAAGTTCAAAAAACGCGGGAAAATCGCGGAAAACGCGGTCTTTTAAAAAATCGCAAAAAACGCGGAAAAAAACGCGGCCACGGAATTGCAATTTTCCCCGGGGACAGAATACGTAGGTTCAGGCTGCGTTTACATGGTTTACTCGACAACGCTGGGGGTGAAAACGCAAGAAAATCCTTTCGGATCCATGGTTCATTTACACGGTACGAAGAGCAAAACGTAAAAGTTGTACACCAAAACGGAAGAAAACCAAAACGCTGGCCAAGGTGGAAGAATTTGAAAACGGAAAAGTTCTGCCGGATAAATTTGGGTGTGTAAACAGTCAAAACGGTATGCTGGCCTCGTTTTCCGTCACGTGTGTTTCGTTTTCGGCCGTTTACACGGATCCGACAATCAAAAAAATTGTTTTTATAATTTTCGTCATGTGAGGAGTGTTGTTTTGTGGCCTGTTCTGAACTATTGCTTGAGTGTGATTGGTGCTTCCACGACAACACTTGGCACATGACGAACTTTTGCGGATCCTTTGCTCCCGTGTAGACGCGCGAAAACGATACAAACGGAGACCACCTCGGATCAGCTTTGATCGTGTAAATGCACGAAAACGAAAAAAGAAATGCGGGACTGAAAACGGAAAACTGGCCGTGCGTTGTCGTGTAAACGCAGCCTTAAACTCATGTTACAGCGCTATCACGTTGCAACCCTCTTTCAAAAGGTGACATAGCCAACAACCACATAAATTGTGACATAATCCATATCAAATCTTGCCCCTTGGTTTTCTTTCTATTAAAGTGTGAAAAATAGAAATGGTGCCAGTCCTTATCATTGGAAAATGCAAAATGAAATCGTAACTCTATTATCGTCACATCGTAGTGCCATGCAGCCTGGTAGTGCATTTGGAGCAGGAAAGTGAATGGTAGCACTGCGGTGGTGAACACATGAGCTGATGACAACCATCGTCGTCTTGTTGGTTTCTGTTGTCTCCAGTTCATTGCAGGTTGAATGAGGAATGAACGTCTACTCTTTCTTTCCAAAACTGGCTGGGCACACGCCAATGAGACGGAAGCTAGTGCCAAACCAGTCCTTGGAAGTTTTGTTGTGCTGCTGGACTTTCAATCATCATGTAAAGTATAATTATACTCAACCAGCTATTCCGGTTTCTGAGTCTTCGTGTGAGCCTGAAGAGCTACACTGTGTAGAGATGTTGGAAGTTTATCCTGATCACGACACTGCACCAAGTCCAAGCACTTCCTCGGCACTGCGTGAGCCCTGTTCTGTGTTTCCTGTGACCAGGAGAAGCAACTAGAAATTTGGAGCTTGAGCTGGAACGCTGGTGCTCTCTCTCTCTCTCTCTCTCTCTCTCTCTCTCTCTCTCTCTCTCTCTCTCTCTCTCTCTCTCTCTCTCTCTCTCTCCGTCACGTTCTGCCACTGTCTGAAACCGGTGCATGTGCTAGCATGTTGAAGCGCATTGTGTCTGAGTCACGCACTCTCCTGCTCCTCCCTCATATGCCCAAGACAGTATGACCAACTATGAATACAGTTCATGCCCACATGTGAACTTGTGTGATTCTCTTGTAGTAAGCTGCCACGTGTGTACTTGCAGGTGTTGTGTACATGTGTGTGTGTGTATGTATGGAACTGCGTTCTCCTATTCTCTCTCCGTTGCCCCTCCGAGGCCCACGCAACCCTTGTGGCAGTGGCTCGACAGCACAGGGCAGGTGTGTGTGCGCGCGCGCGTGCATGTGTGTATGTGGGTGTGTGTGTGTGTGTGTGTGCGCGCGCGCGCGTGCATGCAGATGCGTGTGTGGGTGTGTGCGCACGCTGATGCTCAGCTCTCCAGAATTATGTCCGTGTGCGTAGCCAGTGTATGGTGGCAACATAGCCTTCCTTCATGTATATGTGTATGCGCATACTATTTGGGATGCTTTACTGTTTTTGGTGGGATCCAGTTACATAGTTTTCTGTTCAATTATTTATGTTTATACAGCTGCTGTATTTGTAGTGCAATTTTATGTCTTTCTGCTGGTCAATTTGTCGTCTAGATGGTGTTCTAATGCTGATATACATAGAAAATATTACCCTCAGAAAGTGTGCTCGTTGTGAAGTTGTCCTTCTTTGGGCTCAAACCATTGCTCGTGTATAGGTAGATACATATCAGTGGGTTCGATTGGTGGCGAGAGGTCAGCCTAAATTGTTTGGGGCGGAATTCGGCACGAAATCCACGCTGAGTACTTTTTGACGACGAGTTGCGTCGGTCTTGAAAACTCTGCGAGAAAGCGAGGAAAATGATGTCGCTTGGAGCTTTCCGCAAAACTGAGGGCAGCTAATGCCCGCACCTTCCCAAACATTGCCTCGGAACAAGACGATACCACCAAAGAAGCTCTTGGGAGCAAGGGATAAAATACTCTAATTTCAGAAATTTTCGGTGCTCAATATTTTCGGTATGAGGGCAACAGGCCAGGTTAGGTGAACAGAAATACATAATCCTACACAGTTGCGAGGGCATGACGCTCTGATCAGGCCCGAGCCCCGAGGTCTGTGAGTGATCTTGCCCGGGGTCGCGACGCCCAAGGGGCGTAGCCCCGAGGGCGTCGCGACCGCGGGCAAGATCACTCACATGACCGAGGGCCTGATCAGACCGATGCAACTGTGTAGGATTGCGGTTCAGACAAGGCCCACATATTAGTCCGGGATCCCGATCTCGAAATCGAAAATTTGGGTACCACTTCGTAGGGAGCACAAAAACTCTTCGCCAACCCTTCAAGTACCTAACAGTGAGTATGTCTGAAGTTGTCGGACATCTCAAAGCTGTGCCATAGCCTCAGGAGAAGGGAATATATCCGACGACAAATCGACAATTTCAGGCAGGAGATATCGTAATATTTTTGGCTCACTGGGCGAAAAATCATGAATGCAACCATTGAGAGAAAAGAGAGCGCGACCAAAAATGTGAAACACCTCTGACTAGGAAAGGAAGAAGAAAACGATGCCACAATTCAAAAACTTTTCAAAAAGCGATGCTCGGCGTGGATTTCTTTGAAGGAATTACTTGCTTCTATGCAACGTCCTGGTTTTTCGTTCGTCGCTGTCCCTTCCGAAAGTAGTTCAGGTCATTCAGCTCCAGATAAGTCTCTGCCGTGTGCCTTCCTCTTTCCATTACCCCTGATGGTAGAGCCATAAAACATCGCCTGATGATACTACCTGGTAGTAGTACTGGCTCTGTCCACTGATTGGACCTTCCAGCTTGGAAGGTTCAAGGTTATGGTACCTTCCAAGCTGGAAGGCTGTTGGCTTACGCACTGGAGATGTGTTAGAGCTACATAATGTCCACACAGCACGCGCTAATTACCAGGCTACTGTGTGGCGACTGGCTTTGCAACCGAAGCCCGATGTGCCTACGCCCATCGGCAGAGGATGGATTCAAGACAGCGACGGTAAGTTGTTCCGATAAATAATTAGCACCGATAATGTACCCAACTTTGGATCGCGTGAGGAAATTTACACTTGTGTAATTATTATGGTATGGTACGCGTCTACAAAGGCTACAGTGGAGTCTGCGGATATTGAGAAACATACTGCAAGGTTGAAAGAATTGTAATTAGCAGATAAAAGGATAAAGGATACAGTGCTGCCCTTCCCATTTAACCAGATATCTATGACTGTCTACTGCAAAAATATACGCGAGGAATAAATTAACTGTCTGTGACAATGTTTGTTTCTTCCTTCAGGCAGAGTTGCTGTGAATTGGACAGAACAGCAGGCAGTGCCAAAAGAACTGCAGAGCCTCATCAGCTGCGGGTGCCGAGGAGTGTGTGACACTCAACGCTGCTCATGCAAGAAGTCATCTCTTGCGTGCACTGACATCTGCCGCTGCGAAGGTACATGCGCAAGTCCGCTCAACAGTAGGCCAGAGCAACCACCACAGCAAAGTACGTCCGGTGACGTATCGCAACTCGAAACTGAGTCCAATCATGCCCAGCCAAACTCAGATTGTGACGACTCGTGTGTCCGATAGTGATGGATCAGCTGCGTGTACGAGTGATGATCTCAGCAATGAAAACGTTGATAGTGACAGTGCGTCAGTTTGAATTCCTTGCGCAGCTGCCATATTGTAAAGGGAGAAATTAGACATACAAGAATGAATCAAGTTAGAAAACTAACAGTGACAGCAAGGCTCTACAACTAACATACATGCCATGTGGCAATATTCCTAGATTTTGTATATGGATAAACATTGTGTGTACTATTGTACTACAGTAAAACCTGGTGTAAGCGACCTCTCGTTTTACCGACCACCTACGACCGTTTTTCCATGCACGGACAGTGCTACACAGACACTGTGGGCTGGATGTGCGCACGTGCACGGCATCATTGCAGCATATCATCATATTGAGAAACAGTTTGTGTAATATACAGTGTAAAATTGTACTACCGTAAAATCCCGCCAGAGCGCCCCTACCTCCTCGACGCTTCAGGTGGGGAGGGGCGGATGGGCGGGTCCTGCTTGCCGCATTCAGTGCTACATGAAAAAGTACTCACCCTACGAAAACTGTTCGTGCATCTCGTACACCGACCAAAGGTCAAGAGCCAGGAGTCGAACAGACCCGACAAAACGCAGGGTTTGTGCGATCCCTGGTCAGGAGGGTGGGCACTGTTGCGTACATTTCCAACGGGGTCGAGCACGCGTCTGCAGTGCAGTACGGCATCACAGACTGCAACAGAGTCATACGAGGATACAATCAATCACGTCCCTGACAAGAAGTCAGGGAGGGGCGGATGGGAGAGACGGGGCGCTCTGGCGGGATTTTACGGTACTTTTAACTATTTTACCAGGATGCGCGAATCATTGCAGCATATTCCTTTTGTATATTGATAAACATTGTGTGTGTGAGATACTATTGTATTACTTTTTTGTTGTTGTCAGTAGATTAATTATCAGTACATGATGATCTATTTTAATATATTTTACCTGGAGGTGCGCATCATTGCAACATATCATCATGTACTGATAATTAATCTACTGACAATTATTCAAGTGATGAACTGAACGAATATTTCTTGAGAAATATTTCTTGAGAGAGATGCAGCGAGGACACATACTGACACGTTACTTTGTTCTTTTCATTGGATACCAGAATCAGTGTACCAACACAGAAGTGCATTTTTATTGAACATTGAATATTTATATCAAACTCACAATGTGTCTTCTTTTTTGGGAAATTTATTTTTCAAGTTCGTGATTCAAGACAAAATACTGGCTCACCTTGTGCCGGGGAGTTGGTAGTATTCCATAGGATGGGGCTTCAGCAACTACAGCATTGGCTCGGGCTTCAGACTCGACACCACTAATAAGTAATCCTTCAATCGAGTCGAGACGAGTCGAGTGCTATTACTAGTGTTGACAACGTTTTTGAAATAATTCAAAAATACTGTACTGTACTGATGCATTTCCCTCACTGCGCGTAAAATGCTTCATGTGAGCGTGCCCAATCAATGCTCAGGTGCACGAAGATCTTGAAATCGGCGAGGAGAAATTGGCATGAAACCCCCCTCGTAGCAAGCTTATGGCACAGCTTTCAGGAGTCCGACAAGTGAATCCATGCTACCAAACCCCTTCCCTATCTAACTGGACCATGCCCAAATCCTCCTTCCAAAGTGGCACACCTACTGCGAAAAATTGATTTCTCAGAATCCGGATCCCGGACTATATATGGAGATGTTCAAAGAGAAAAAAGCCTTGGCAATGGCAAACTGCCGCAATGTCACATTGTGTGCAATGTCCATCACAAACAGATTTGTTTGGTCAGGACTTTCCACTCTTGAGATGAAAGTATTCAAGTACAGTGAAGGCAGTAGTAACGTTAGTAGTACCAGTAATATGATTGGTTGAATAAACCCGTTCTCCGAGTAAGATTGATGATTGTCAGAGTAAGGTTCGAATGCTAGTGCTGAGAAGCTACACTTGTTGAGGTCTGCTTCCCTTACGTGCGTTTCGCCGAGCAACATGCCCAGCTGCAAGGTTGGATGGCGTTTCTGGCCTCCCTACAGACGTTCAAGACGTTCAAGACAGTAGTGAGTAATTTTGGAGAAGCGAGACAAATTTTGAAGAACTCGTCGGAGATGTTGACCAAGGCAAGGACTTCGAAAAATGGTAAGTACGCATGTGCGGCGCGGTGCTGTATGACTGCTGTTCTTGCCCGGATATGCGGGCAAGAACAGCAGTTGTACCGTATTGCGTACAGAATAAGCGGGCAAGATCTACTGATCTTGCCCGCTTATTCTGGCCGCTCATTGGCTGTGGCCTGGCAACAAGCACGTGCCATGTCTGAAATTTTCGGTACAGAGAAGCAGTTCCCTAGTATTGGATTATGTGTGTTAGCAAGAGTAGATATGTACTCTTGGTGTTAGCAAGAGTTCCGGCATAACCCCCAAGAGTGTGCAACTCCTGATCAGTCCCTGAGTGTATGGAAGCCCGCTCGGCGGAATTCCTTCATTGCGTCATTTTTGGTGCAGTGCGATGAGTCACGCCGATGAATTCTTCTAAAATTTACAGTCAAACCAGGATGCCTCCCCAGGGTAAACTGCCTAAACTGCGATTCTAGTCTGAGCCTCAACGGCTCAAGGTACTAGTACTCCTTTGTAGGGTCAAAAATCGAAGTTTAGAAATCGGCTTTTTTGACTCTTTCAGTGGACGCACAAGGCCCTGAACCTGTGGAATCCAAAATTTGAGGCGAATCGGCACAGTCTTTGCAGAGTTACCATGGTTACAGGCCAGTGAAGTGCGTGGGTATGTACGATGTACGCACTGCAGCGTGACCATGCTAGCTGTCAGAAGAGCAAAAATGAGTACTCATGCCACGTGGCAAAAATTCAAATATTCGTTACCATGACTGCACAAAATGGCGACCCAGCGTAAAAACTGGGTTCCCTTGCGCTTTTTGCACCACAAACAGCAACTATTCTGCACTCGCGATCGCTCGCTGTGCTGAGCTTGAAGATGGGAAACAAAAAAATGGAAAGGTAGATACTACGTTGCCAAAAAGAAGAAATATTAGGGAGGTTCTGCTATACGTGAAACGTAGAGAAATCACGTAGAGAGCAGGTGTCTGGGTTGGAGTCTACGGCTTCGCGTGTTTTGGCTCCAGATTTCTACGCGGAGATGGGGTTCTCTACGTTGTGGCACACGCAGAGAAAATGCGTACGGATTTGCTGGGTATCGATCAACTGCATGCAGAAAACTGCCAAATATGGAAGGGGGAATTCCCAGTACACATTCCACGTGACTTCTCTAGGTGAAACGTAGAGCAGAACAGCATTTCTTTACGTTACGGGAACGCGAAGAAAGTTCGCGTGATTCTTTGCGTCGCGTTCCCAAAACGTAGAGCAGAACCTCCCTACTATGGAAAGAAGCCTGAAACAGCTCCCGATCCTAACCCTGTTCCTGTGGAAGCGGAGCCAGAAGATATTGGACGTAGCTCTTCATTTGCAAAGCTCGTCGGCTGCAAACCCTGGTGGGAGCAGGAGACATCAGACAGCGATGGCGATGTTGGAACGGAGTCTGATACCTCACTGACCTCGAACCCAGACACGAGTGACAGCAGTGATGACAGTGATTGTTTCGAGGCTGATGAGCCCCATACTGGTGCGGGAAACGTATTTTCGACTTGGAGCAGCTGCAGGAGATTCTGCTGAAATGTGTGTGCAGTTTGTAAAGTTGGCGGTATCATTTTGGAAAAGGAGAGACAGCAAGGCTTAGGATCACACATGGTCATATCCTGTTCATCAGAATCATGTCCTGGTGCTAATGTCAAGTTTTCATCGTCCATAAGAACAAGATTTTTTGACGTCAACCGATGCTCCGTTTTAGCTGCCAAGCCCATTGGCCGAGGACACTCTGGTCTCCAGAAATTCTGTGCCATTATGGACCTCCCCAAGCCTGTCAACAAGACGAACTTCCAGAAACACCAACAAGCTGCGATTGAGGCTGCACACACGGTTGGCGAGAAAAGCCGCAACTACGCTGCCCAGCACTCGCGCGGCTGTTAGCAGAAAATCCCGAAGCCAGAGGCCATCTACAAGTTGCTGGTGCCTGTTTACCGAAGACTGGCAGACCAGGCACTTCTGAAACGGTGCTTGCTTGGTGCCACACAAAATGCCAAAGAAGCATTCAATGGTGTCGTGTGGCGCATGTGCCCGAAGGAAGTCAATGCAGGTCGCTGTGTGGTGGAGCTCGCTGCAAATCTTGCTACATGCACTTTCGATGATGGTGCCATGAGCCTTTGTCAAGTTCTTGAGAGAAATGTCGTGTTCTGTTGGCCATAACACCATCAAGGCACTGAAGAAGGAGGATACGGACCGCATTGCACATGCCGAAGTGGCCAGTTCAGCATTGCAAAAAAGCACAAGAAAGAAGAGGAGAAGAAAGAAAAGGGCTGGGAAGAGCAAAGAACAGAGCAAGAAGGTGTCACATATGAGGCTGGTGGATTTTAGCTTGGTTTGGTGAGGTTTTGTTGCTGACATTACAGCTTATGCCTGCATTTTTGTCTGTTTTGGACCCCTTTTTTTCACTGTTTTTAGCCTACTGCGAGTGTGTTTTCTGAAGTTTTCTCTTGGACAAAGTGTCTGGACACCCCCCAAAGTATACATTTTTGGAAAGGTGATGCCCAGGCCTAGGGCACCTGGGTGTTTTCAAGAGCAACACTTTAACTGGAACAATCTTTGCCCTCTCTCAAATGTTGCAACATGGTCGCGTATTATATATGTTGTTTTATAAGGTGTATTGTGCGTCCTTTGTTCCTTTGGATGGACTTCTGCTGACCCAGGTGCCCTTCCCCAGACCTAGATGGTTTGGATCCAACAAATTTGGACCCATCAAATAGTCTTTTCCTGGACACTTTTTTAAGAAAATGTGTAGCCCGTCATATCGACAGAAAGTGTACATTCTGATTTACATTTTCCAAGGATCTCGCAAAGCATGACAATATATTTTCTGCTGTTGCAATCACTACCCTTTCATCTGTGTGTGGAGAAAATTTGGAGTGATTTGCTTGTGTGGGACCAAAGTAATGCCTCTTCTTGTGCGGTCGGCCCAGATACAGCCGCGAAAAGAGTACTAGTACCTCAAGAAACAAAAGTGAAACAAAGCACACGATCCTAAAGACAAAACTATTTATTTTTTCGATGCAATGGTGACTCTTCATCGCCTTCTTCTCTCACCAGTGCAGTCAGTCTCTTCAAGAACAATTTCTTCCCCAGGCCATCGGCATATTCCCGGTGCTTTCCTCGAAGATGATTTCAAATGGTTGAGGAACTTGAGAATACGTCGAAGGAGCATTTTTCGGCTGAGTTGCACAGCTATCAGAAAGAAGAAAGATTGTCCTCGACGGCAATGCAATATTTTTAACAGCGTCCTCACTTCTTCCTGTCGCGATGTCGACATGTAGTCCATGGATTCTTGGAGAAAGAGTTTTGTTTTTGAGAAAGTACGACTGGTACATGTACGTACGTCCGAAATGTCTTCAAACAAAGCTTCGAAAAGTCGAGGCTACAGCCTTGAGTTAGGAGCAGGTTCAGGGTATAGTTTCCAGAAATCGCAAAGAACCTAAATTTTCCTCGGATGACAAGCTGCGCTGGGGGTTATGAACTCTTGGTGTTAGTGTTTGTTCGGTGTATTGAAATTTTAGGTATGAAACAGACGCACCGAAAGTACCGAAAATAAAAGTACACCGAAAATTTGTGAAATTACAGTAGTCTCTTTTTGGCGAGATTGAGCTGAGTTTGAAATTTCCCGGGCCGGCCTGGTGCATGGTGTCGGATTTGGAAAATAAAAGTGCAACTTTTTTTAGGGGTGCTCACGGCCGGGTAGAATCGTACATGTTTTCCGATTTTGACAGCATGTTACAAGGGGTGGGGGGGGGGGGCATGTTAAACTACCAAGCAAGGCTTCTGTATACCTGGGTAGAATACAGTACAGTGTAGTAGACACCAGGGAGTAGGCCTGGTAGACACCCTTAAAACCTTTAGGGGTCTTTTTCGGTGCTGGCGCTTCGCCTGGTTAGATACAGGCCCGTAACAGGGCCAGGGTACGAGTACTGCGTCTGTCTGTAGTGTTTTTGAGGGGTGTGCGCACGGGTAGAATACAGTAGTTATCCTGGTTGAATGTGCGAAGTAAAATAAAAACCAACAACAAAGGATGGATTTCCGACGAACATACATTGTAACTTTGTAAGCCAGTCAACGGCAGTGCGGCACAGGGCAGGTCCCCTACAGTCCATTCAGAAAAAAATGAACTTCTAGCTTTTGGCCATAAATGGGTCAAACTTTGTGAGTTTTTTTAGACTTTTTTTTGGCAATCCCCTATGGAATCCTCTTCCAATTATGTTTCTGAAGTTTTTTTGCCCAAAAAGCAAGCCATAGCAAGAATAGGATTTCGGCCAGGTTTTGCCCCAAAAGCACAGAATTGGGAAAACCATCAAAATCCAGGCCGTTTGACCCCGCCTGGCAACAGTGCATTCTGCGGTTCGAACCCCAGTTCAGGCACCCTTTTTGGACCCTTTTTCAAATTTCAAAGTTCGCAGCACTGCACTGTGTACGATGAAATCACGAAAAACCGCCAAATACGGGAGCTCGCCAGAGCCAGAGCCCATCTTTTTATGAATGGACTGTAGTACAGTCAGACCTCGCTTATCCGGATCCCTTGT